GGAAGGATTTCTGAATCCTAGATCCAAGGGTTCTGAGCTTTTTCTGGTCTACATTCCAGGGGTGAGTTCACTGAGACGTTTGGGTGACTATGTCTACACTGTATGATCTCTGAGATGTCTGGCCCCTGTGTTCTAGAGTATGTGGTCTCTGAGCTTTTTCTGCTTGAGAGTTTGACATGTTTGGGGGATATTTTCAGGTGTAAAGTCTCCTCCTTTTGGGACATCTCAGTCCCAGAGTGTGATACATCTGACTCATTAAGCATTTGTTCCAGGGTCACGGTCTCTGAGCTTTCAACTGGAGGGAGAGGGGTGCCAGTTAGTGAGTTTTCTGCGCTGTTTGGAGGTCTTTATTCGGTGTGTGAAATCTCTCAACTCTGACGGTCTGTGCAGAGTATGGGGTCTCTGAGCTACTTAGAAGTCCCTCCTTTCAGGTATGAGGTGGCTGAGCTGTTTGGGGTCTGTGACCCTCATATGAGGACTCGGGTGTGTTTGTCTTGGCTCAGGGTATTTCTCCCCCCTCCTGTCTTGAGCCCATGTCCCAGGGGATTAGTTCTTTATGATGTGGGTTTGTCCCCGGGTTATGATTTTTTTTTTAGAGCAGTTTCAGGGTCTGTGTCAAGTTTCAGGTCTTTCTACTAATGTCTTTATACTTTCTTGGGCCTCAGAGGTGCTTTACCCTCTGTGCCCCAGAGTGTGAGATCTCTGATCTCTGCATTCCTGGGTGTTGAGTTCCCTGTTCCCAGGGGTGAGGTAGCTCCTGTTGGGAGAGTCTCAGTCCCAGGGTATGAGGTCTCTGACTTACCAGGGGTCTGTTTCCAGGGTTTGAGGTCTCTTGAGTGGTTTGGGGTTCTGTTACTAATGACATCTCTTGGGTGTGTTTTTTTTTTTTTTGGTGGGGAGGGTCTTTGTCCAGGATGTTATACTTCTGAGCTGGGTGTGGGGGTGCATTCGTGTCCTAGAGTGTAATGTTTGTTAACTCTGAGCATTTTGGCATTGTATGTCTGATAGGTGAGGTCTCTGGCCTGTTTGTGGGTCTGCTTTCCAGATTGTGAGGTTAATGAACTCTTTGAGGGTTTCTGTCCCATTATGGGAGGGGTCAAGCTGTGTGGGCATACATCGCCAGGATGTGCTGTCTCTGAGCTCTTTTTGTGTCTGCCTTCTGGGTTAGAAGTTCACTGCGTTGAGAGCCTGTGTCCACAATGTGACATCCCTAAGCTGTTGTGGGTCTGTGCCCCAGTCTCCTCTGTTTGTGGCAGACTTTGAATAGAATGTGAGGTTTCTTGGCTCTTTGGTGATGTGTCCATTGAGCGTCAGGTATCTGAAATCTTTCTGGATAGGAGTACAAAGTGGGAGTTCCATAAATGGTTTAGGGGTCTGAGTTCAGGGTATATTTCTGAATCATTTGGAGGTCTGTTGAGAGTGTGAAGATTCTGAGCTGCTCGGGGATGTAACCCTAGGATAGGTTTCTAAGCCGTTTCGTGTCTGCGTCCAGGATATGTGATCTCAGAGCCGTTGGGGGTCTGTATTACACGGTGTGAAGTCTCTGAGCTATGTAGAGGATTTGTATCCACATTTTCAGGTCTCTGAGCTTTTCTGGGAACCACAATGGAAGGCCTCTGAGCGGTTTGGGGATCGGTCTCTGTGTATGAAGGCTCTGAGCTATTTTGGGGAAATCTGCGTCCAGTACATGACAGGACATCTGTGAACAGGAATCTGTATCAAAGGTGCGAGAACTCTGAGCTGGTTTAGGGCCTGTGTTTCAGTGTGTATGATTTCGGGGCTCTCTTGTGTTCAGAGTAGGTCTAAGCGGTCTGGTGGTCTGAGAAGAGGGTGTAAGGTCTCTGAACTGTCTGTCCATCCTTATCCCAGTTTGGAAGTTCTTTTGAGAAATTGGTGGGTCTTTATCCCTAATTGTGAAGCTTTGTGGAGGTCTGTAATCAGATTTTCAGGTCTTTGAGCTCTTGGGGAATGTGGGTTACAAAGTGTGAGGTCTCTGGGGTTTGGTAGTCTTTCCTAGGATGTCCTGAGTGAACCGTCTAGGGGTCTGTGTCAGAAGGTGTGGGGTCACTGAGCTGTATGTATATAGATGTTTCCCAGGGCTGGAATTTTTTTTTTAATGTTTATTTTTGAGAGAGAGAGAGAGAGCACGAGCAGGGGAGGGGCAGAGAGAAGAAGACACAGAATATGAAGCAGCCTCCAGGTACTGAGCTGTCAGCACAGAGCCCTGACAGGGGGCTCAAACTCACAAACCATGAGATCATGACCTAAGCCGAAGTCAAATGCTTAACCAACTTAGCCACCCAGGCATCCCAGGATTGAAATTAACAAGGATCTGTTTCTGGGCTGTGAGACCTCTGTGCTCCTTGGGGTCTGTGTCTAAGGCTTGAGCCTCTGAGTTATTTGTGGTGCTCTGTTCTAGGTAGAGGTCTCTGGGATATTTAGTGCTCTCTTTTCCAGGGTGTCCCTGAGCAATTTGGGGGGGTCTGTGTCCAAGGTTTCAGAATCATTTAGGGATCTGTGCTCTGAGCATGAGGTGTTTGGGCCATCTATGTCCAGGGTGTCACATCTCCACTTTGGGAGCATTGCCCCAGGATGTGAGGTCTCCAACACAACAGTTTGGGAATTGATGATCAGGGCGTGAAGTTTCCGAGTAGCTTGGACAGCAGTATCCCAAGTTGTGAGGTCTGGGAAATGTTTGTGCATCTCTATCCCAGAAAGTTGTTCTCTGACGTGTATGGGGTCTGAATCCTAGTGTGCAAGGTGGCATTCGAGGTCCTGGAGCTCTGTGGGAGTCAGTGTCCCACAGTTTCAGTGCAGCCTGAGTTACCTGGGGTGTCTAGATGCAAGCTCTCTGAGCTATTTGGAGATAGATAATCCAGGGTGTGAGGTCTCAGAGGTCTAGGGTCAATATCTGGGTATAAGGTCTATGAGCTGTTTGGAGGCGTGTGTCCTAGGTACCCTGTGAGGTCTTGGACCCATTTAGGATTCTGTCACCTGTGTGCACAGTCTTCAAAATAGGTATCTGTGTCACAGCATGTGAGGTCTGTGAACAAACCAAAGGGCACTGGCTCACATTCCCGACTGAGGGGTGATGAAAACAAGTTTATCAGGAATGTCATCTCTGTTCTCGGTTTTCTACCCTGGTACCTATAGGCACTCAATAAGTATTTGCAGAAAGTTTCCCCCAGCATGCGTAGACTTTTCTCTTTGAATGCAGTAGGTAGGCTCTGGGTTCAAAGCCTGTAAGAGCAAGGGAGGGTCCAGCTCAAATTATATCCTATTTCTGTATTTCCACTGTCTTTATTTCTCTTAGTGATTTTTGTTTATGGTAAATGATAATAGTCCATTTAAACAACAGTGGATTTACTTCACTTTCACAGTATATTTGAAAAATTAAAAGGCAAGCTTATTTTAGGTCACACATTACATGGGTCATGGTGCAAGTGGTACCCTGTAGGGAGCATTGTACCAAATGGCTGCAGTTTGAGGAAAATGTTCCCAGGCACCCCAGCACCCAGCCTCTTGTGCCCCCCACCCCCACCTACACAAGGCCTTCAATCCCCACACCTTGCTTTGTTCAGTCAACAATTTGTTTTATTGATGCCCACCCCAGGCTGGGTAGGGCCAAGGGATATACAACAGGAGAATCAGATTCAGTCCATGCCTGAAGGTCAGTCTGGGGGGCAGGAAGCACGGACACAGACAGACACACAGACACACAGACCTGGCATCTGGTGGCAGGGCACACAGTCTCACGTAGGGGCACTCTGAGCACAGGTAGTCAGGGAAGGCTTCCTAGAGAAGACCTCATGGGGGAAGCAAGGGGGCAAGGCAGCCATCAGAGCCTTTGCCTTCTGTACGTTTGCGGGCAGGTCACTTTTGAGGCCAGCGGACCGAAGGGGAGTGCAGAGGGCTGGGGCTGGCAGAGGCTTCCCTCTCACCTCATCGTACCCTCATGGGTAAACCATGCCCGCCCCACCCCCATTCTTGGCCTGCACTTTGCCTTCTGCCACATGCACCCTTTCCTGGGGTCCACCTCCATAGTTTCCAAGGCTTCCCTGAGACAATCCATGTGGAGCAGGTGCTCTGCCCAGTGCCTGGCACCTCATCAACACCCCATCAATGCACATTTTTGTCCTAAGTGCTATCTACAGCCTAGCTAGGTCTTGGTTCCAGCTCTAAGTAGTCCCAGCAGTCATCACGCCCCAGGTCAGGGCTCCCATTACCCTCCACACTCTCAAGAGCCCCGGGTGCCTTTCTATATGCACTCCCAAGGCGAGTTCATACCCAGCCCACCTTAAGCACTGGCAAAATCTGGACTGCCTTCCTCTCACTGGTCAGTGGGCCGTGAGCACCCACTTCTCTTCCAGTGGCATAAGAACGTCCACTTCTCAGCTGTGCAACCCTGAAAAAGACCCTAGGACTCTTGGGCACGACACGACCCGGTACAGGAGCATAAGCAGAAACCAGCCGCAGCCCCAGCCCTGGAGATCCCCTTTCTTTCACTAGTACAAAGTTTCTGTGGTAGGGGAAACATCTGGGCTGGGAACTCCAGGCTCCGATGTCCGCCTGCCCTGGGACTGCTTCCCCACACCCTTGGGGCAGTAGGGAGAGAGCCTGCAACAGACCCAAGTTCCAGGCAGAAGCAGGTGCAAAAACAGTTCTATTCTGGGGCTGGGCTGGGGCTCATCCCTTGGACTTCCTGGATAGGCCATGATTCTCAGCTGCAAAAAGTCCTGGTGTTCTGAAATTACTTCTGAAGGTGGGTGGGGGTTTGTAAGTGCAACCCACAGATGGGGCTGGGACAGGGAAAAGGGGCTCCTAGAGTCAGTCAGTCAGTCCTCACCGCAAGCCCACAGGCCCAAGCACGGGGCAGGTGGGGGCAGGTAGAGGCAGGCAGGAGGCCCAGGCAGTCATTCCTCAACAGGAGGGCAGCGGTGGGTAGGTGGGGCAGACGGCTTTAGGCCCCCACTGTCAGTCTGGTCTCAGACTTCAAAGGGCTAGAAGAGGTATTTGCGGCAGGATTCAGTCCCACACTTGCATTCAATACGGACCCGCTTCTTGGGGGAGCCGGGGAGCCCGGCCAGGCCAAAGTTGGAGTCCATGCGGGTGCTCTCCATGTCCACGGGGTCCACTGTGGATTCACAGCCAGGGAAGGCAGGGGGGAGGGGACTTGTTAGAAGGCCAAGGTGAAGTGTCCCGCTGCCCTTTTCACCATAAGACCCAGGAATCTTGGGTGCTGGGAGCACATCTGGGATTTGGGTCAGGTGGGGGTTGTGGGGTTGGTGGTCTGGGCTCAGCACTGGTGGTGGATGGGGTGTTCAGGTGTTAGGAAGATGGCTGGAGGTAAGGGTTTTGGAGGGAGGCAGGGGGCTGTCAGGGGGAGGGCCATGTCAGACAGAAGTCAGGAATGGTCACCTAGACGTCCAGAGGGACATCTGAACTCTCCTGTCAAAGATCTCCCCCCACCCCCTGAGTGTCTCCGAGGTGGCTAGCTTGTCAAGAAGGGGACTGGTTGGAGACCCCAAGAGTGTCCAGATGCTTGGAATGAGCAAGGCCAAGGGGGTTAGGAGTGGGGAGGGTTGGGTGACTGGGGAAATTCAGATGAGTCAGGAGGAATATCTGAACTCTCGAGCCAAACATCCTCCCCAGGAGTCTTTAGGAAAAGTCTGTATGAGTGTCTCAGGGTTGGGGTCCAGGGATTGGAAATGAGGGGACCCCCGAAAGGTAGGCAGAGGTCCAGGAATCCAGATGGGAGGCTGGGAGTCAGGAAGAGCATCTTAAAGCTCCTTGGGGAGGGGTCCTTGTGTCCCATGTCATTGTATGCCCCTGCCCCCAGTCCCTTGCCACCCCCACCTTGCATGTTGTAATCAAAGGTGAGCTCCTCGCCTGCCCGGATGGTTCTTGTGGCAAAGAAAGCGATGCGGGGCAGTCGCTCATCAAGGTTGTCTATGAAGACGTTGTACACCTGGAGGTTGGGGTCACACTAGGCGAAAAAGAACAGCGGGAGGGTGAGGAGGGGCCCCAGCCTGCTCCTCCCGACCCCCGCCCGCCTGTGGGGTACCCACACTGTGGTTGACAAAGTGGGAGATGTTGCCATAATAGGCTGCATCCACGGTGTACACATCCTCCACGTAGTCCAGGTCGAAGAGGTAGGTGGCGCCCTGGCGGTCGTAGATCTGGCCCCGCCGCTCCGCCTCCTCTGAGGTAATGATCTGGGGAGAGGGCCGTGGGGGAGGGGAGAATGGCCAAGAAGGCTCAGGAAAACCAGCACAGCTCCTGACCCCCAGCCTGGCCCCCCCGGGCCAGGAGAACAAGTGAGCAGAGCTGTGGCTGGCTCAGCAGGGGTAGCAGGTATGGACACATGGGGGGGGGGGGCTGTGATGCAGAGGGTCTGTGAGCCCCCCTGAGAAAGGAGCTGGGCCTCAGCTGCCCACCACCCATCCCTCCTCAGGCCTCTGGATGGCATGGTGTCTCTCAATGGTGGACAGAGGCTGGCCACAAGGTCCAGGAGTGAGACAAAGAGACCCATAGTGAGATACGCTAAGCAGATAAAAGGCAAGAAAAGGACCCAGGGCTCACAGAGAGGTGTGGGCGAGTGGGAGAGAAAGAGAGAGGCTGCAAGAGAAGAGGGCCTGAGGTGCTGTGAGACCCAGCACAAGAGAAGGCACCAGCGCTGGGCTGCGAACAAGGAGGAGCGGAGGACATGGAAAGGAAAAAGTGGCCTGGACCAGTGGGAAAGGGAGATGGAATGAATGGAAAGGAGACTCAGACAAGAGAGCTCAAGGCAGAGACTTAGAATCTTAACACTAAAGACCCTGGTCCGGAGAGAAGATCAAGACCCCTGTTGAGAGTCTAAGATAAGATAGCAAGAAAGAAGCAGAGGCCAGAATCTCAGAGGCAGAAGGTGTAAGAAAGGAAGCAAGAACACGGGAAAGAGACCCTCCTTCAGCCCTGATGCTGCACAGTGCCAGCAGCCAGGATCTAAGACAGCAGTGGGCATTTCCTCCTCCCCAGATGGGTCCCTGGATGTCCTGGAAAGCCCCCGCCTCTCCGCCCCTCGTGTTCCCTCCTCCACCCCCAGCCAACCACAGCCTTGCCTTCTGGTAATTCCCAGGCACAGTCAACCATGCCTGACTCTGGGTGAGGGTCTTGTGGACCCCAAGACTTCCTGCTCCTCAGCCTAGGTTGCCTCCAGACTGGGGCAGATCTCATTCTCCACCCCTGGGCTTCCAGCTACCTCTGCGAACCCCTCAGAGACAAGTGCCCGCACAGCACGAAGCAGAAACACCATGAGTACCCTTTATTTTTACTCTGCTTTCTAGCCCAGTAACCTATCCTCAGTCCTGCGGAGGTCATAAAAGCAACTCTAACACTCTCTTCCCCCCACACCCTTTCTTCCCCCCTCCCTTCATCAGAGACCCACTAGCCACCACCACCCCTGCCACTCGACACAAACCCAAAGCTGCCCTGGCTTCCTTCCTTGCTCACACTCATGCCAACCATGACCATCCCCTTCCTACTTCCAGTCCTCACCACCCTCCACTTTTGCCAGCCAGGATGGCTGCACTGGTGTCCGGTCTCCTCCCTGCCTCTTACACCAGCACCTCCAGCCTCTGCTCTGATCCAATTCCTAATCAACACCTTGAGAAGACCAGGGTCTACCCCTTGGGCCACAGTGCTCACTGCCCTGCACTCAAGCTCCATTCTGAGGAACCTGCCTCCTTGACACTCCCAATTTGTGCTGGTTTGTTCACTCATTCATTCGGTGCATTTTTTTATGAGGCCTATCCCATGCCTGGTCCCAGTGCTCAGGGGCCAGTGTCTGCAGGGAGAGAGACAGGGACCAGGCTGGGCCCCTGTTGGGAGTCACAGTTGGGTCAGGGGAGACACAGGAACCAGGCTTGGTCCTGGCCCTCAGGGGTCACAGTCTGGTAAAAGAGAAATGGATTTGGATACCTGCAGTGCATGATGCTGATCGGAAAACACGGTGCTTAGGATTCCCAGGGCAGTAAAAAAGCAATACACCATCTAAAGCAAGCTACAGGTCAGAAAAGGGCTTTGACACCAGGTTGAAGAGCGGGGACTCTCTCCTGAGGGATGCAGTAGGAGCCACAGAAGTGTTCTGAGGAGTTCATCAGGGTCAGTCTCCCTTCACCTCCTGAGAACACATACTCTTTCCTTGTGGAGTCAGCACAACAGACGTGACTTCTCTGCAGTATTCTTGAACCTCCCGATCCCCAGTCGCTGTGAGGAAGCTGCTGCCTCCCCGAAGCTCTCTGAAGCCCTGGGACTGAAGGGCAGCCTCTGCTGGCTCACAAGCATGCTGGGTGGTGTCCGAGCCAGCTATTTCCATTCCACATCCTCCCTGGTCTCCATCCTCCCGCCTGTTCTGCCTCTACCTGCTCCCCGAGTCTCACCAAGAGTGAGTCACAGGGTGAGCCCTCCAGGGCACAAACGGCTCCTTCTTGGTCTTCTTTCTTTCCAATCCCACTCTGTAAGGGCGGGTGTGCCCTGAAAATTCGGAAACAGAGCAGGCCATGTCCCTGCTCCCTAGCAGCTCTCCAGAATGACTGGGGAAGACAGATGGGCTATAAGCTAGCAGCCTGGAAAGGGTGTTGACGGTGAACAGTAACCAGAAGACTTAGAGTCTGGTCACTGCTCTGCCCCCATCTGGATATGGGATCCTGAATGTTCTCTCCTTCTGCCTGTTTCCTCAGCCAAAACAAACAAACAACAACAACAACAACAACAAAAAACCCACAACCCTTCACCAGGTCTGGCAGCACACCAACTTTAGACACTTGGACTTTCTTTTTTACCTATTAGCCTGATGACTCTGTTACTATACCTCTCTGGGCCTCAGTTCTCATCTGTAGAATGGGGGTGACAATGACAATAATCCCAACTGGCAGGAGCTATTACTGTAAATATCCAATGCAATCAGGGTCGTGAAAGAGGTTTCACTTTTTGCTTTAGTTAGGACACGGAGCAATGTTAGGAATGGCTGAGTAGTGATTTTGTCCGAATCTAACATGCTCCCTTATTTTATGTGCCCTTTCCCAAGAAAGGAAAAACAGCTAATTAAATGATGCGCCATCATTTAATTAAAATAATTGAGACTCATCTTCATTTCAGCGTCGTTAAAATATGAAGAGAATTCAGGTTTCAGAATGGATAAAACAGGCTGTTGTTCTCTTCTGGGTGAGGGTGGGGATGTTCGGACAGAATGTGGAAGGGTGCGAAGGCAAGGAAGGGCAGCTCACATATGTGGAGGGGCTGTTGGTGCAGAGACGGGAGAGTGAATGTTATGTCCAGAGTGTAGAAGGATAGCGTGGTGAACAGGTATGGGGTGCATGCCCTCCATTACAGGACATCAGGTAGGGTCTGGGACAGCACCATGGAACGGAGTAAGTTAATAGTTCTACAATGAAATTCACGAATATTCACCCCAAGTGGGATAAATAAACTACAAATAGGCCCCTATCAGGTCTGGTTGGGTTTTATAGCCAGATGGGTTACAAAAAACTTTGGGGTTTCTGAGCATTTGGGATTTTCTGGATTTTGGACTGTGATGGCTAACACATATTGAAGGCTTACTGTTAGAGGGCTTCCTCCAAGCGCTGCACACATCATAACTTATTTCAATCTTATAACAAGTGAATGATGTGGCTGCTACTATCACCCCCATTCTACAGACTGGGAAACAAACACAAAGAGGGTAAGTGACTGCTGCTGAGTGGTGGAGCTAGGCTCCAACCTCAGGCAGTCGGGCTCCAGGGCCCTG